TTATCTGTAAGTATGTGTACACACCTAGTGTCAGTTTACATGTTAGTATGTGTACACACCTAGTGTCAGTCTACCTTTTAGTATGTGTACACACCTAGTGTCAGTTTACCTGTGTGTGTACACATCTAGTGGCAGTTTACCTGTTGGTATGTTTACACATCTAGTGTCAGTTTACCTGTCAGTATGTGTACACACCTAGTGTCAGTTTACATGTTATTATTTGTACACACCTAGTGTCAGTCTACCTTTTAGTATGTGTACACACCTAGTGTCAGTTTACCTGTGTGTGTACACATCTAGTGTCAGTTTACCTGTTGGTATGTTTACACATCTAGTGTCAGTTTACCTGTCAGTATGTGTACACACCTAGTGTCAGTTTACCTGTAAGTATTAAAAATATAGTGTCAATTAGTTTGTTAGTATGTGAACACATGTTTTGTAACCAGTTAGTATGTGTAGAAAAAAGGAACCTGACATAACGTGATTCTTGAGTTTAAATTATAAAGAAATATATCTGAACTTGTTACGTTAACAACCCGCTGGTTGACGTTTACAATTCATGGTAGACGTTTACAACCCGTTGGTAGACACGTTAAGTTTGTAGACGTTTACATTCCATACGTAGACGTTTACAGCCCGTACATTGACGTTTACAGCTCATAGGTAGACGTTAACAACCCATAGATAGACGCATACAGCCCTTAGGTACACGTTAACCGCCGGTATGTATACCTTAACAGCCCGTATGTACACATTTACAGCCCGTATGTACACGGTTTCATTCCGTATGTACACGTTTACAGCTTTAGGTACACGTTTACAGCCCGTATGTACACGATTACAGTCCGTAGGTACACGTTTACATCTAAAGGCAGACGTTTATAGCCCGTGAGTAGACGGTTACAGCCCGTAGGTACACGTTTACAGCCCGCATGTACACTCTTACAGTCCTCCTTAGGTACATGTTTACAGCTAAAGGAAGACGTAAACAGATCATAGATACACGCTTACAGCCCGTAGGTACACGTCTGCGGTCCTTATGTAGACCGTTACAGCCCATAGGTACATGCTTACAGTCCGTAGGTACACGTTAACAGTCCTCAGGTAGACCATTACAGCCCATAGATACACGCCTACAGCTCGTAGGAACACGCTTACCGCCCGAATGTACACGTTTACAGCCCGTTGGTACAGGTTTACAGCTTTAGGTACACGTTTACAGCCTGTAGGTACATGCTAAAGCCCGTGGGTAGACGTTTACAGCCCGTAGGTAGACGTTTACAGCTTGTAGGTAGATGTTAAACACTGACAGCCCAAAGATACACGTTAACAGCCCTTAGGTACACGTTTACAGCCCATACGTAGACGTTTACAGCCCGTAGATAGACGTTTAAAGTCCTAAGGTACACGTTTACAGCCCATAGGTACACGTTTTAATTCCTCCAGGTCTGTCTGTCCCTAGCGTACTACTGCAAAACATTACACAGAGAGAACGAAAATCTTCTTAAATATTTCAATAATTAGAGAGTAAGTAAAGATCGTGACTTGAATGATGAATATAGGCCTCACATGAGAAAAAAAATGACACATCAAATTCATGATCAATTTTATCACGGGACAAGCATGCGACCACGGGAGTGATTAAACGAAGGTACGTACTCTTGTCATATTGAGATATTTTAATGAATTTTTAAAACTCCCAAATTCGATAATATATTATCTGTAAGACAAAGTTGTACAGCGAGTATTTAGTATCCAATAAGAAATATTAAACTATATCTTTTTTATAACATATGGGTCAAAGAAGTAATATAGACGGTAAAATCCCATATAACACTGGATCCTAATGGAGGTATGTCCGTAGGATACGAATTACTTAAAATAGTATATGGGGCAAAGAAGTAATTCCAACAGTGTGGACAAGTTTAGGTTGTCAAATTTTCGGAGCGAATATATCTTTACAAATGCATAAGCGATATCATATTTTCCCCCAGGTTTTTGACTTTTAAAACAAATATTTCACAAAAACTTTATAAGATTCATTTAAAAATATCCTTCAATGTAATTGATCTTATAAAGGAAAGGATATACTATATTTTTAATTGAAATGTGATATATCTTATGAACTATAAATTAAAGACATTCAAAGACATGTCTTTTATATTAAAAGGTTTCTTGAATAAATTTTAATATACAATGTATGTATTTCATTTGGAAATATATAATTTTGAAAGATTTATCTTTATACGAAATATATACATACTTAAACGAATGAAGGATTCATTTTATTTTAAATATTCAAGGAATGACCAAGTTTATGTTTTGGTATATACGGTATATACCGAAAACAAATTGTGCACATTGCATAAATCCGCGAAGCGGTTTATGCAAAAAAAGTGCACATTTTTTTTCTCGGTATATACCGTATATACCAAAACAAAATCTTGGCCATTCTTTATAATTTAATTTAAAAAAGTAGACAAACACGTTGTAAATGCACAGTTAAAGATTTATTTAATTTTTACGTAAACTAAACAATTGCGCTAAAAAGAAGTTGCGTTGTAATTTTGCATTCTGAAATGTAAAAAGTAGTTCCGTCAACAGTTGTTTTTCTTTTTAGGTATATACGATATATACCAAAAAACATATTATGGGGGAGATAAGCAAATTTAAATTATATTAAAATATACCTATACATTGTATAAATAATAGAAATTGTGTAAATAGTAGGCCTAATGTCTGTTTTTAAAGCATAATGAACCCATGATCTTTGTACAGCCTTTCCTAAATACTTAATACCAAATTTTATATAATCAATTTGAATTATCATTGAATGAAGCCCGTGGAATTTATAAAAGCTAAAATCCCACTTTACTCTAATCATTTTGTGCTACGTGTGCTAGTTGTAGGAGTTATCTACCTTCAACCATCGAACACAACAGGCACGTCTCTTTCCTGAAGTGTTTGTGAATATAGACAGATGACTAAATTACATAAGAAATAAATTAAGAAATGCTAAAACCAACCAGGAGCACCTCGAATTTTAAAATAAGACATTTTCAAATATTTCCAATCGGAGGAACAAATATATTTACATGTTTATATATGCATAAAAGAGAACGAAAACATAAATGTTATTTTCAAGAATCGGTCCACCGATGTGAGGTGCTCAAAATAAGGAAATACGTACGTGCATGCAAGAGCTCAGTGTTTAAAAGCGAAACAAATAGATCTGTTCTATGTAAATAAAATGTATATTTGTCGTTTCTGTTTAATGTATGTGATGTGTGGTCTAATGAATAGTGTTTCGGAATACTGTAAATATAGCTAGCGAATTGAATTAGAATATAGCGTTTATATGATTTTATATGTTCCTATTTAAATGATTTTGTCTTTAAGATCATATATTTTACTGAATAGCCAATGTTAACATATATAGATATGAGAGGAGAGTTCAAATAAACAAATTACCCAGATTCCTTGTAGTATTTAAATAGCAAAGACGTCACAAAGCAAGCTATTCAATGGAACGGTTCCTATTAAAACAAAGACCCGTTAACCAGTGGCCACCTTATTATACCGGGGACATCCTGTCAATATGGAAGACATTTCGTTTTGAATCGGAAGGCATTTTCTCAGCAAACTAAAAATGGCAGACAGACTTGTATTAATGGCAGTTTGTGTGTTTTTGATGTTGAACTGTCTGTTTGGTTCGGTTGATGGTGTGGGGACGCTGAACGTGTCCTCTTCCCAGGTAAAAAGTTGGCACTCGTCAGTGCTGTCGTCCTATCAGAAGGATGTTATACCGACGGACGACACCAGCAATGTCCTCGTGGTGACCATAGATTACGTCATGAGGGCCATTACCGAGTTTGACGAGTTGGCCGGAACTTTGGCCACTGTCGGTGTATTGGACACAAGCTGGACAAGTCAGCTTACATGGAATCCAAACGACTATGACGGCGTGAACCGCTTCACCATGAATAGAGAGGACGTGTGGCACCCCCCTCTCACTCTCTACAACGCAGTCGACACCCTCAAGGTGTTGGGCCACAAATACAACAAGGTTAACGTCAAGTATGATGGTAAGACCACGTGGTCACTCCCGGTCATTTTGGAAGCCGGCTGCTCTGTGAATGTACTGAACTATCCATTTGATAAACAGAACTGCTCGATAGACATAATACCTTGGGACTTTCAACAGGCAGAAATTAAATTAGTCACAACCAGCGATGAGGTGGATATTACTCATTACGAGGAGAATTTGGTCTGGATACTGGAATCCACCAGCGTGGAGACTTCTTCAATTGACGGTAAATCTATGATCAGTTTCAAAGTGGACCTGAAAAGGCGCCCAATGTGGTATATCATTGTGATGATTATACCTGTGCTCCTTCTTGGGGTTCTCACCGTCTTCTCTTTTTACATCCCTATACCAGAGGGACGAGTAGGCTACGCCATGACCGCTTTCCTTACGTTCTCCGTGTTTTTAATTCTCATCGGAGACAACATTCCTAAATCTTCCGACCCTATGTCTCTGCTGTCGTGGTATGTCGTCTGCGAGGTCGCTTTCGGGGGATTGACAACAATGGTCACGATCTTCACTGTCCGTTGGCATATCAAGGACGACGAGATTCCTGTACCACACATTGTAATGACGTTTGTGGCCTGTTTGTGTTGTAAAGTGTGTCAGAACCCAAATAAGAACTTGAAAGTGCACCCCGCCAAACAAACGCTGAAGCAAAAGGATCCACACACATGGATTAATATCCATGGCAACACGTTTGAAATGAAGGCTTTAGATCAACTTCCACAAGGCATCAAATTTGGAGCTCCCAACCAGAAGTGGAAGACTATTGAAGAAGAGGAAGAAGTCGACATGGATTTCAGCGAGCTATGTTACGTGCCAAAGGTCAGCTGGGTCACGGTCGCCAGAACGCTTGACCATTTCTTTTTCGTGCTTTTTCTTGGTGGACAGATTGCCTTGCTGGCTATTTTCATTGTACCTCTAGTTGTCCAGTATTACTGACGCAGTAGTGACGCCATCGTGGCCATCTGTGTGCCAGCTCGCGAGAACATAATTATGTACATATTTTATAAACTAACATTTGTTTATCTTTCCTATTTCATTTTTTGTGGGTTATTATCTAAATCGCCACTCTTCCGATACTGTCACCGTGGTATCTGATCAAGTTGTCCAGTCGAAGATTGAAGCTAAACGAGTTGTTTAGAGGAGGAGAGTACCACACACTCAAAAGTACAAATATTTAAAAAAGCGTTTTCTTGGTATCACCAAAGATGCAAGACCAACGTTAGATTTGTAAATCATCGGGTACACATATGTATGATTAAACCCTGGTCAATATTCTGTAAATCATTGGGTACACATATGTATGATTAAACCCTGGTCAATATTCTTTACTTCATTTTAATTCGCGTTGTTGAATAAACATACAATTTGATATTTTGTACTGTTGTATATGGCAAGTTTCGATCAATGTGAGTGCTAACTATCATTGCTTTACACTGTGCATCAAGTGTTTCTACAAATGCTTTAGCTGATATAGCGGAACACACAATATTATTCCTTTTCTATAAAGGTCTCATTACGGACCCTCTGACATACCCCATTCTGTGTGGCTATATAAAACATATGAAATTCAGTGTTCCAACAACTACATCACTGTCGATAGCTGTATAACCCCAAATGTCAAAGTTTTAATACATTCAAGGTCGTGTCATTATGACATCCAAGATCATTATGACACTAAACGTTATTGTCATTATAACAACGTTCTTTGCAAATGCAACGATAGGTGAAGGTCACTGTAGCACAAACAGTCATTGCTATTCAAATGTAAAGGTGATTATTACAGCAAAGACAAACAGCCCCAAACAGGGGTGTTAATGTGACGTATAGAGGTAGAAATCACAAGGGAACCAAAACGTGCTTATAGCTCCAGATATAAAGGTCATTACGTTAACAGATGTAAAGGTCACGAAGGTTCCAACGTTAATATGTCATTCTATCACAATAGGTAAAGGTCAATCTGACACCAAGGTAAAGGTCAACTAAACACCAAGGTAAAGGTCAACTAAACACCAGAAATAAAGGTAAACTAAACAACAAAGATAAAGGTCAACTAAACAACAAAGATAAAGGTCAACTAAACACCAAAGATAAAGGTCAACTAAACATCAAAGATAAAGGTCAACTAAACACCAAAGATAATGGTCATTTAAACACAAAAAATAAATGTTCACTTTACACAATAACTGAAGGTTACCTGGACGCCAAAAGTAAAGGTCAACTTGACTACCAAGGTAAAGGTCAAATTAACACCAAAGATAAGGGTGAACTTAACACCAAACATAACGGTCAACTTAACACCAAACATAACGGTCCACTTTACACCAAAGATAAAGGTCCACTTAACTCCCAAGGTAAAGGTCAACTTCACACCCAAGGTGAAGGTAAACTTTACACCAAAGATAAAGGTCGATTTGATACCAAAGATAAAGGTCCACTTTACACCAAAGACAAAGGTCCACGTAACTCCCTAGGTAAAGGTCAACTTCACACCAAAGATAAAGGTCAACTTAACTCCCAAGTTAAAGGTCAACTTTACACCAAAGATGAAGGTCAACTAAACACCCGAGGTAAAGGTCAACTTTACAACAAAGATAAAGGTCAATTTGATACCAATGATAAAGGTCCACTTTACACCAAAGATAATGGTCAACTTCACACCAAAAATATAGGTCAATTTAACTCCCAAGGTGAAGGTAAACTTTACATCAAAGATAAAGATTCACTTAACTCCCAAGTTCAAGATCAACTTCACTCTAAAGATAAACGACAACTTAACTCCCAATGTAAAGGTCAAATTTACACCAAAAATATAGGTCAACTTAATTCCCAAGGTGAAGGTAAACTTCACATCAAAGATAAAAGTCCACTAAACTCCCAAGTTTAAGATCAACTTCACTCTAAAGATAAACGTCAACATAACTCTCAAGATAAAGGTCAACTTTACACCAAATGACAGTGAGATGTCTAATGCGAGTGTTTTTCAGTAACAGTGGAATACCTTTTTGCGTTACTTTAATGACAGTGATATGTGTTACGTCAATGACAATGAGATATCTTATGTGTTACGTCAATGACAGTGAGATATCTTATGTGTTAGTCAATGACAGTGAGATATCTTATGTGTAAAGTCAATGACAGTGAGATATCTTATGTGTTACGTCAATGACAATGAGATATCTTATGTGTTACGTCAATGATAATGAGATAGCTTATGTGTTACGTCAATGACAGTGAGATATCTTATGTGTTACGTCAATGACAGTGAGATATCTTATGTGTAAAGTCAATGACATTGAGATATCTTATGTGTTACGTCAATGATAATGAGATAGCTTATGTGTTACGTCAATGACAGTGAGGTATCTTATGTGTTACGTCAATGACAGTTAGATATCTTATGTGTTACGTCAATGAAAGTGAGATATCTTATGTGTAACGTCAATGACAGTGAGATATCTTATGTGTTAGTCAATGACAGTGATATATCTGATGTGTTAGTCAATGGCAGTGAGATATCTGATGTGTTACGTCAATGACAGTGAGATATCTGATGTGAGTTTGACCTGACTGTTGTATAACATCGATCAATTTATATAAATTGAAAATGAAACGTGGACTATTACGACTTTATTGTACATGTTCAGTATCACTTATCTGGTATTAATTGTGTTTTTCCCACAAATATACAGCTACTGTAGTAAATAGCTATGTAACAGACCTATCGGTAAAACCCTGGATTATTTACCTACAGAAGTAAGAACGCTAGATTAATTACCAGCTACAACACATACATCTACGGGCTTTGTTAGGTTATAGCCAGTCATGCATATAGATATCTTTTTATTGTGATCTCAAATTTGATAAAACAAAGAACCGTATCGGTATATAATATCTGAGCGGTTTACATATCAAATGCTCTAACCTTACTGTGATCGTCATTAAGTGGTTTTGTTTAAGTCCGTCCTATTTACCACTATAGGACTTCACACAGATACACGTTATAACGGACCACTGAGACTAGTGAAGTAAGCCTCAATGTGGTGAAGTCTCGAGTTAGTATACTAATATCTAAGGTTCCAGTGAATCTCCGCTTGTTAGTATTCATATTAGGTGACACTATGTCTGCAGGAAATATGATCCTGTTACCATTTGTGATGTTTCTGGTAATTCACGGGACATTGGGAGCCAACTACACACAACTTTTGGATTTCTACAAAACAACCATCACAGATGGCGCCTACAGCAGTAAGGTTTTCCCGCGGGACACACAATCGGATATCATAGATGTTGACATGGTCTTTTATCTTTCATCCATCAAGGAATTCGACGAGGTTTCTGGGACGCTTGAATTGATCGGTATTCTTAAGATCACGTGGACTGACGAACTTATCGATGACCAGTACAACTGGGGAATACACGGCAACATCAGCAACATTCTCATCACTTCTTCTCAAATCTGGGTTCCCACCGTCACAATATTTAACTCTGTCTCCAAAATTAAAGTGGTAGGTGACATTACTAATAAGATTCGTGTCAATCCTTCCACTGGAGCGATGGAATGGTGGCCAGGGATCGTGCTGAAGACGGGATGCAATGTCGATGCATCCAACTTCCCGTTTGACAAACAAGAGTGCAAGGTAACCTTCACCAATTGGGGGTTCACAAACACAGAGGTCCGCTTTGTTATCTCTGCTACATCTGTAAACCTTGATAACTACCGGGAAAATGAAGAATGGAGTATCGAATCGACTATCATGGACCCTGAAAATATCGATAGCATAAGTTATGCCACGTACAAACTAACGCTGGCCAGGCGCTCTCTCTTCTTTCTCGCTAACCTCGTGTTCCCAATCCTTATCCTCAGCCTCCTTAACGCCATTGTCTTCCTACTTCCGCCAGCGACAGGAGAGCGAATAACTTATTCAATCACAGCCTTCATGTCATTTGCAGTGTACTTGACTCTGACCGCTGAGAACTTGCCACGGACGTCTGAACCCCTGTCAATCCTTTGTGTGTATCTCATGATAATGACGTGCATTAGCGCGGGAACTGCACTGTTTACCATCACTACACTCAGGATCTTCCACACTGAAGAGGAAGAGAGGGTACCGGATAGGCTTGCCACAATCATCGCTGTCTTAAACTGTAAGGTGTGTAAAGATGAAGACGATGATGACGAAGATGATATGGAGATATTTGCGATAAAAACACCAGAACCTCTGGACTCTAAAAATGCGCCATTAGACATGATTGATCCCTCGGCTGATCCTGGCGTGAACGAGAAAGCGCCACTACCGGATGATGATGAGGCTGCAGAGGACGAAGAAAACGAAGAAAAAGAAGTCGTCAAAGGCAAATACGGCGTAGATTGGAAACTAGTTTCGGCCACCTTGGACTTTTTCTTCTTCCTCGTATTTGTAGCTGGGAATGCTCTGATCACGTTCTTTTTCCTCGTGCCATTGGCAGCCCAGATGTAAGGTCAATGAGGAAGTAGGACAAGTGAACTTGAGCTTCTGACACGTGTGTATGACTAGTGGAGACGACTGCCATTGGTTGTACATAAACGATCATACTGTATTACCATGTAAATATACGTTTGTTTGAAACTTGCTACAATGACGGCTGTACACGCTCACTTGAAAATACTAGGGAAAAGTAGACGGCCACAAAAGTTTTGAGCAATCCTTTATAATTAAGGAAGACATATGTATATATTGTATAGGTCTACTTGATTTAACGAAAGTTTACTGAATAAAATCAATACCTGGAGTGGAACCGTCTTGCCTCTCGTTATGATGGGAAACTAATGATAAATATACATGAACTGTATCACGGAAACTTTCGCTATGTCAAAATGTTCGCCTTTCACAGGTACCAGTTACGTGCAGTGTTAATGTGGCCCATGGTATTACTCTATCTAGTATGGTGTGTACTTAGTTAATGTGGCCCTTGGTATTACTATATCTAGTATGGTGTGTAATTAGTTAATGTGGCCCATGGTATTACTCTATCTAGTATGGTGTTTACTTAGTTAATGTGGCCCTTGGTATTGACTATATCTTGTATGGTGTGTACTTAGTTAATGTTGCCCTTGGCATTTACTATATCTAGTATGGTGTGTACTTAGTTAATGTGTCCCTTGGTATTACTATATCTAGTATGGGGTGTACTTAGTTAATGTGGCCCTTGGTATTACTATATCTAGTATGGGGTGTACTTAGTTAATGTGGCCCTTGGTATTTACTTTATCTAGTATGGTGTGTACTTAGTTAATGTGTCCCTTGGTATTACTGTATCTAGTATGTTGTTTACTCAGTTAATGTGGCCCTTGGTATTTACTATTTCTGGTATGGTGTGTACTTAGTTAATGTCGCCCTTGGTATTTACTGTATCTAGTATGGTGTGTACTTAGTTAATGTGTCCCTTGGTATTACTATATCTAGTATGGTGTATACTCAGTTAATGTGGCCCTTGGTATTTACTATATCTAGGATGGTGTGTACTTAGTTAATGTGGCCCATGGTATTACTCTATCTAGTATGGTGTGTACTTAGTTAATTTTTCCCTTGGTATTTACTTTATCTAGTATGGTGTGTACTTAGTTAATTTGGCCCTTGGTATTTACTGTATCTAGTATGTTGTGTACTTAGTTAATGTGGCCCTTGGTATTACTATATCTAGTATGTTGTGTACTTAGTTAATGTGGCCCTTGGTATTACTATATCTAGTATGTTGTGTACTTAGTTAACTTGGCCCTTGGTATTTACTATATCTAGTATGTTGTGTACTTAGCTAATGAGGCCCTTGGTATTTACTATACCTAGTAAAGTGTGTACTTAGTTAATGTTGCCCTTGGTATTACTATATCTAGTATGGTGTGTACTTAGTTAATGTTGCCCTTGGTATTACTATATCTAGTATGGTGTGTACTTAGTTAATGTTGCCCTTGGTATTACTATATCTAGTATGGTGTGTACTTAGTTAATGTGGCCCTTGGTATTTACTATATCTAGTATGCTGTGTACTTAGCTAATGAGGCCCTTGGTATTACTATATCTAGTATGGTGTGTACTTAGTTAATGTGGCCCTTGGTATTACTATATCTAGTATGGTGTGTACTTAGTTAATGTGGCCCTTGGTATTACTATATCTAGTATGGTGTGTACTTAGTTAATGTGGCCCTTGGTATTACTATATCTAGTATGGTGTGTACTTAGTTAATGTGGCCCTTGGTATTACTATATCTAGTATGGTGTGTACTTAGTTAATGTGGCCCTTGGTATTACTATATCTAGTATGGTGTGTACTTAGTTAATGTGGCCCTTGGTATTTACTATATCTAGTATGGTGTGTACTTAGTTAATGTGGCCCTTGGTATTACTATATCTAGTATGGTGTGTACTTAGTTAATGTGGCCCTTGGTATTACTATATCTAGTATGGTGTGTACTTAGTTAATGTGGCCCTTGGTATTACTATATCTAGTATGGTGTGTACTTAGTTAATGTGGCCCTTGGTATTACTATATCTAGTATGGTGTGTACTTAGTTAATGTGGCCCTTGGTATTACTATATCTAGTATGGTGTGTACTTAGTTAATGTGGCCCTTGGTATTACTATATCTAGTATGGTGTGTACTTAGTTAATGTGGCCCTTGGTATTACTATATCTAGTATGGTGTGTACTTAGTTAATGTGGCCCTTGGTATTACTATATCTAGTATGGTGTGTACTTAGTTAATGTGGCCCTTGGTATTACTATATCTAGTATGGTGTGTACTTAGTTAATGTGGCCCTTGGTATTACTATATCTAGTATGGTGTGTACTTAGTTAATGTGGCCCTTGGTATTACTATATCTAGTATGGTGTGTACTTAGTTAATGTGGCCCTTGGTATTACTATATCTAGTATGGTGTGTACTTAGTTAATGTGGCCCTTGGTATTACTATATCTAGTATGGTGTGTACTTAGTTAATGTGGCCCTTGGTATTACTATATCTAGTATGGTGTGTACTTAGTTAATGTGGCCCTTGGTATTACTATATCTAGTATGGTGTGTACTTAGTTAATGTGGCCCTTGGTATTACTATATCTAGTATGGTGTGTACTTAGTTAATGTGGCCCTTGGTATTTACTATATCTAGTATGGTGTGTACTCAGTTAATGTGGCCCTTGGTATAACTATATCTAGTATGGTGTGTACTTAGTTAATGTGGCCCTTGGTATTTACTATATCTAGTATGGTGTGTACTTATTTTCATTGTCGTGTTTAACTCATCTTAGCTACGGAGAGTGAACTAGGTGAAAGTTATATTGTTACAAACATTTCCCGATGTACAATATTTGTTCTCCAATGATCTTAGCAGAGTCTGGTAACGTACATGATCGACTTTTACAATGCATATGAACTAATACTGAGGAATCAGTTGCCGAAGAAGTTGACGAGTAGCTAAAGTTTAACACTGTTCCTACAAATGACGCTTTTAACTAAGATAGGAGTCGGAGTTACCGTGGATTGTTTACGGAAAGCAGTTGAATGCTTAAGAATGTCATATACTGATAAATAAAGTGTTGTTTTAATCATTATCTGTTTGTGATTATATCTTCCTTGACTCTTTTTGTCAAAATTGAGTACAATTCATTTCTTGTGATATTTGAGTGTAATTCATTTCTTGTATCATGTGTTTGGAGATTGGAGTTTAATCTATTTCTTGTTGGACATTGTTTGGGAATTCGAGTGTAATTAATTTCTTAACTAACAAAAAACTGTTATTGATGGTTGCATGACTTGATTTGGAGATTCGGCTTCATTTCTAGCATTATTTGGTAAAGGAAATTTGAGTGTAAACTCATTTTTTTGGGTGACATGGATGCAATATTAAGTGTAACTCGATTTTGACATACATTTGTTGCTTAAATTGACATAAATCATTGCTGGTTAGGTCCCAGTCCCACACTTAGGTCACAGAACAATACAAACCAGTGGCGTTACGTAATGAGCCCCACCCTGGAACAATATAAACCAGTGGTGGTAAGTAATGAGCTCCACCCCGGAACAATATAAACCAGTGGTGGTACGTTAGATCCCCACCCCGGAACAATAAAAACCAGTGACGGTACGTTATTAGCCCCACCCCGGAACAATATAAACCAGTGGCGGTACGTTATTACCCCCACCCCGGAACAATACAAACCAGTGGTGGAACGTTATGACCCCCACCCCGGAACAATATAAACCGGTGAGGTTACGTTATGACCCCCTCCCCGGAACAATATAATCCAGTGTTGGTACGTTATGACCCCCCCCCCGGAACAATATAATCCAGTGTTGGTACGTTATGACCCCCCCCCCGGAACAATATAAACCAGTGGTGGTACGTTATGAGCACCACCCCGGAACAATATAATTCAGTGGTGGTACGTTATGACCCCCATCCCGGAACAATATAAACCGGTGATGTTACGTTATTACCCCCACCCCGGAACAATATAAACCGGTGATGTTACGTTATTACCCCCTACCCGGAACAATATAATCCAGTGGTGTTACGTTATGCCCCCCACCCCGGACCAATATAAACCGGTGATGTTATTTTATGAGCACCACCCCGGAAAAATAAAAACCAGTGGCGGTACGTTATTACCCCCACCCCTGAACAATATAAACCGGTGGTGGTACGTTATAACCCCCATCCCGGAACAATATAAACCGGGGAGGTTAGGTTATGACCCCCACCCTGGAACAATATAAACCGGTGGTGGTACATTATGACCCCCACCCCGGAACAATATAAACCGGTGATGTAACGTTATGATCCCCACCCCGGAAAAATATAAACCAGTGGTGGTACGTTATTAANCCCCGGAACAATATAATCCAGTGGTGGTACGTTATGACCCCCACCCCGGAACAATATAAACCGGTGATGTTACATTATGATCCCCACCCCGGAAAAATATAAACCAGTTGTGGTACGTTATGATACCCAACCCGGAACAATATAAACCGGTGGTGGTACATTATGACCCCCACCCCGGAACAATATAAACCAGCGGTGGTACGTTATGACCCCCACCCTGGAACAATATAAACCAGCGGTTATGTTACGTTATGACCCCCACCCCGGAACAATATAAACCGGTGATGTTACGTTATGACCCCCACCCCGGAACAATATAAACCAGTTGTGGTACGTTATGAGCACCACCCCGGAACAATATAAACCAGTGGTGGTACGTTATGACCCCCACCCTGGAACAATATAAACCAGTTGTGGTACGTTATGAGCACCACCCCGGAACAATATAAACCAGTGGTGGTACGTTATGAGCCCCACCCCGGAACAATATAAACAGGTGATGTTACGTTATGCCCCCACCCCGGAACAATATAAACCAGTGGTGGTACGTTATGACCCCCACCCCGGAACAATATAATTCAGTGGTGATACCAACAACCCAGAACAATATAGACCAGTATTGGTGCGTTGTAAACCCACACCCCGGGACAATATTGACCAGTATTGGTGCGGTTTAAACCCACAACCTCACGACGATATATATAGACCAGTTCTGTTGCGGTGTAAACCCACACCCTCGGGACAATATAGACCAGTATTGGTGCGGTGTATACCCATACCCCCGAGACAATATAGACCAGTATTGGTGCGGTGTAAACCCACAACCTCACGACGATATATATAGTCCAGTTCTGTTGCGGTGTAAACCCAAACCCCAGGAACAAAATATACCAGTATTGGAACACTCTCACGACATATAGAACAGTATTGGTGCGGTGAAAACCCACACCCCCGAGACAATATAGACCATTATTGGTGCGGTGTAAACCGCCAACCCC